AACACACATATTTTAATTAACTAACAATGTACGTTTAACAAACGTCATAACTATTGCAAGCAATGTGCTAAATCAATCCTAGAAGTATGGTGAAACAGTAGGGCAGGGTGTTCTGCCAAACAGGAAATTTAGCAAATCATGTAATACTGCTAAATGCATACCAACTGTGCGACTTGAGGCTCAGCTGCTGATATGTTATCAATGAAAAAGTCGCAGGAATAAGCGCTGGAGGTTAGCGAGCTAGCAAGCTAATCTTTTGTTTTCATCTCTCCTGTCGGTACAGTACAGCCGCGAGGCCTGGTCACACTGCCCTAACACAGCTACCGACCTGCTAACGAGTTAGCTTACGTCCTAACGGCAAAGACCGACACAAATGAACAAACAACCCGGTGCAGTCGTTAAACTAGCTATCTTCAGGTATAAGATAAGGTAATTTCCCCTTACGTCCCAAAACAGTGCTCATTTAAAAGCTCATTAAAACTTTATCGAAGCTTTCCAAGAGTAATCAATTGAAATAAAATACCTACGATGCAATAGGCATCGCCACAACTCAAAAGCATCTTTGACAGTATAAGTATAAAAGCGACAATCAGTTCAGAGGAGAATATAGAAATATCACTGAATATGAAAATATAGGGCAGATTAGCATGCTAGCTAAGTTATTAGCCGTAGTTCTTCAACCCCCTCGTTTTGTTGGGGCACGCAGGAAGCAGTCCGACAAAGCTGGAAATGTAAGGAAATAAAGCGTAGAAATACACGCGCATACTTTAAAACAGTCCACTGTTCCTTTGGTGGCGCTAATCGGGACCAGTCGGTTCATAAAAACCCCATCCCGACCCCGTTCAGGGCTGTTATTGTTGTTATTGTCCCAGCTGATCTACATCTAAACAAGGATCGGACAGTTTTCGCGCGAAATCTTTTTTGCCGCGAAACCAGCACGTGCGCTAATCCTACGGCTACCATTGGTCGAAAAAACTACACTTTCCGCGGGGCGGGACTGAAAGTCTCTGATTGGTGTAAAACGTTGTCGGTCATTTTGCCGAGCGCAGATTCATCGATCCAAAGGTGCATTCATGTGCCACAGAAAAAAGAAACATTACTTACTGGTATTGCTTTCATTTTGTTAGCTTGAAACTAATCTAAGAATGATTACACTTATCATCATAGAAAACACTGTACGTGTTATTGCTAAACTCAATACTAAAGTGTTTCTCGTTGCAAGTATATTTGTGTTTCACGTGGGAAAATGTTAACTGCAACAAGGAAACCTCAAATGTCATGCTTTCAGGCGTAAGACAAATAATAAACTATAGATCCAGCTGGAAGTACAGTTTTATTCCACATTAATAGGGAAAACGCTTCCCCTTGAGTTTTGTTGTGTTTTATCGTCTTTCTTCTATGGTCTTTTCCTATCAACTTCCTGTAAGGGGAAGTACCTCAGCAGGCAGTCCCTGCTAATCGAGCGCCTATTGCGCAGCAAGAGAGTGACAAGATGGCGCAGGCAATATTTGAAGTGCTTGAAGGTAGGAATAATTTGTTAATAACAATGTTACTACCACTACAATAAAACGTGAATGTGTATTTTCAACCATCCCGGGCCCATTTTAACATACAAACATCTAGTTATAAATCTAAATGCCCATATAATTGATATAACAATCAGCATGCAATAGAAAGAAGATTGTCTAGGACTGTAAACAAACAAACAGATTGTTTAGACCTTTTAGACAGTTTATGTCTGCAAGTTGTTCTCATGGTATTGTAGTCAGGCAATAAAGTGGTGTGGGCCTTCCCATGCTAATCAGACTGGAAGTTATTTTGCAGCAGGCCATTTTTTGATGAAAACACACTGTAATATTAGTAAAATATATCCACTAGAAGTAATAGCGTGAAGCCGACCTATATTTTGTGTATTCTAGTCTCCTAAGTTATAACTATTATAATTAAAAGGTATGTGTACATTTTTCCAAAAATGCATTACAATTTTACCATAGAGTAAATAGATCTGCAGTGGCTGGAGATAACCCCACATAAAGCTGTTAATCCTGATTTAAAGCACACAGTATTTTTCTTCTTGGCAGTTTAGAAATTTGTGCAAAAGATCCTTCATGTAGACGCGGCTGTTCCCTTTCAGCTTCTTAGCTAGACCGTTTAAGAGACCTAGTTCATATTTGTGCCCCGAACACGGTGTAGTATTGCAGTATGTGACTTATTACACTGTTTCTTTGTCCTCCTCTCCTTCCTCTCTTCAGGCATGGACAACCAGACAGTGATGGCGGTCCAGTCTCTGCTGGATGGCCAAGGTGGAGTTCCTGACCCAAACAGCCAGAACGTCTCAGGGACACCCACTATCCAATCTATGGGTCTGTACAGCAAATACGGTACATGAAAGCTGAGAGATTACAAAGCAAACAAGAATTAAAAGCTTAGAAGAGTATTGTTGCCTTTTGTAGCCAAGTAGAACCACAAAATAGAAACTCCATCTGGTATTTCAAATATGTTTGCAAAGAAACATTGTCTTTAGCACAGTATTGGTTTAACACAAAAATATAATGTCAAGAAGATGGAACACCTTGAGTAGGTGATGGTGCAAGACAGGCACCATCTTGTTGTATTCTTGATTTAGTCCCGGAGAACACAGGTGACACACTGTAAATTTTAAATAGAAAATGTATCACCCTTAGAGTTAAAATAAACACTTTCCCAGTGTTTATATGGGACCCACTAAAGAGTATTAAACTAACACTTATGGAAGTGTTCACAATATTAACACAGTTACAGTGTTATATAAAAACTCTTACAGTGTAAAACATTAACACTACAATGGATAACAAAAACACTAAGTCGGTGTTTAAAGTTCCCTCATTAGCGACACTTGTGGAGAAAACACTGCACTGGTTATCAGGTAAGACTTGGGGGTGACAATTTGCACTACGCTAGTGTTGAGCATGCTACTAATATACAGTATGCAACATGGTTCACTGAGATTAGCACTATTCTTGGCATCAAGCAAGACTTTGTAGAGCATGTGTTGAGTTTGTTGCTGAACTCACAGCATCAATATAAACTTTGGCAACTTGGATATGAAGTCACATATATCTTAAACTGCATGACAGTTGCATAGTGGTGCCAACCAAAGAATTGACATTTGTGGGCGGAGTGTAACTACATCTCCAAGGAGTTAAGATAACACTGATATACCGACTCTGTCAAATAGCTTCAACACTGAACAACATTTTACATTGAATGTTTTAAAAATGTTCTTTAGGAGTTGAAATCAACTCCAAAATGTTTAACTATGAAATTTCAACACAGGTTTTTGCTGTGAAAGAGCCATTTGGATATCAGTCGTGTCAAATTTAGCAACCTCCCCATGATATTATTAGCATCTTAACATCATTTTAGTGAGTAAATATAGGCTTAAACAAACATCATTTTAGTGAGTAAATATAGGCTTAAACAACAATCAGACTCATTAAATGGATCTCATTTAGCGTGTGAAATAGCACCTCTCTGATTTTTTTATATTACTGGTGTTTGTTTATACTGAACTATCTCCCTGTTGGTGCCTGTTCATGAACAACGCTTAGCCCTTCTTGCTCATGTTATGGAATTGCAACTTGTGCTTGAGTCACATAATATAAATGCATACCTGTTTTGCTGCATATCAGTAGCACAACCCCTCCATGAATTGACATGATATTGCAATTGAAGGGTGAAGGTGTCTCAGCTGTGGCTGTCAAACATGGCTCTCATGGCAGCCATGTCATCAAAGTTGACATTTATTTCTAGGAAAGCAGAGGAGGTTATGACTGCATTGTACAGCAGAGTAGGTGTGTGGTTCTTTTCTTCTTCTTGTTTTCTGCCGTAACTGCCTCAAACCTCCATGTTTGTCCTTCGTACAGACGATGAGGACGTGTTCCTGTGTGGGAAGTGTAAGAAACAGTTCAATTCTCTGCCAGCCTTCATGACACACAAGAGGGAGCAGTGCCAGTCTAGCGCCCCCTCCCTGTCCACGGTGTCCTTGGCCTCCGCCAACACTTACACCCCTGTCCCGTCAATCAGCACTATACCACAGACTCCTGCTAACAGACAGGTGAGGGTAGTTTTGTGTGGGTGATTGATAAATCAGTATCCATTCAATTCAGTTCAGCTTATTTGTATAGTGCCAACTCACAACAACAGTTGTCTCAGGGCACTTTTAAGATGGACCTTTAATTTTATTATTTATTATTATTTTTAGTTTTAGGTTAGGTAATACATTTTGTTGTTATACTTACAGTATAAACATATAGAGTAGGTTATGATAAAAGATTATGATTTTTGACACAGCCATGAGTGTTTTCTCACTTTAATAAATTGTTTCTGTACAACTGTGGCAACACCCACTTATTGTTTATGTCTGTGTGCTATTTCCCACATCTACACCAGGTATCTACCTACATTACAGTCCCTCCCTCCCCACTGACGCACACTTTGGTCCAAGGCAATGTGCTGGTCAGCGACGATGTTCTTATGTCAGCTATCTCAGCTTTCACGTCCATTGACCAGCCCATGGCCACCATGCAGACACCTATACAGGTAAAACAGCTGTTTTATGTTCCAACCCTATAAAGCATCGCACCTTTGCTAGATGCTGTGCATCATGCTTCATATCAAGTCACCAAAAACATGAGTATGAGCAAGTTTGACACAGTTGAAAATGTCCATTGTGGGTTTTTCTGAGGATAAATTAGTAATACAGTTTTGCTGTACTCAAATCTGTCTGCTCCCTTTTTTGTATTGCAGAGTAACCTGAGCATGCACACAGCTGGTGTATCCTACCTTCAACACCATCACCACCACCACCACCATCACCATCATCAACAGCAGCAGCAGCAGCAGTCCTCCCACCCCTTGCCTGCCAGCCAGACGCCAGCCCACCCCTTGCCAGCTGGACAGCCCGTGCAGCAGCCGCTCTCGTCACAAATCCCAGCCAGCCACAGCAACTCAGTGGTCCAGGTGTACAGCACACTGCCCCATATGGCCGGAGGTGGTGGTGCAGAGATCCACACCCTGGGTCTGCAGCCTTTCCATCCTGTACAAGTGTGTAAAGCTGGCTGCTTGGTTTCCAGCTCAGTATTAAATATGTTAGCACCATTAAATTTAAAGCCTTTTTGGTGTTGCACGAGAGAAACGTAAAGAATTTCAATGCCTATAAATAAAACTCCAAATGCAGTGAATTCAAAAATACAAAATGACATGATAAAGTATGTTGAGTGAAACTGATAATCATCTCCCTCAGGTGCCAAGTCAGTGTGTGGAGAGCCAGTCATTCACCACCCCTCCTGTCTACAGCCCCGGGAAGCAGGGCACCAAAACAAAGACCTGCAGCATCACCACCAACCTGACGGAGCTGGGTGACTTTGAAAAAGTCATCATTCCCAAACGACCCAGGAGCAGCAAAAAGAGCCCCGATGGAGCAACAGGTGTGTGAAGACCAAGAGAGAGGACAGTAATTTGCTGATTTCAGTGTTTTGAACCAAAGCTGTTATAGGTGATACTGTGTTATACATCTGACCAAGAATGACAGAATCATAATACAGGAATATCCCCTGAAACAACATGTTTAAATCGGAGCTACTACACATCTCAGTTTAAAGGGATAAAACTAAAACGTCTAGTGCCACAGCTTCCACCACATGTTCATGCATAGTTCTGCTAAATCCATGCAAAACAAACAACCAGTGATCAGTTTTAAAACTTATAGACTACAGTTACTGATTCATGAAGCTGCACATGACGACATAATGATTATGGATTTGAAAAGTATAATGGTGCTCATTCATTCCTCAGCAGAGCAGCTGAAGAGAAAAGGTCCAAAGCTGAAGTGTAATTTCTGTGACAAAGTCTTCTCGAAAAACTTTGACCTTCAGCAGCACATTAGAAGGTGAGTGAGGTAGACTGTCTAAAAACAGACATCCATGCAGAGGAGAGTGACTCCATTTTCTTCCTGTCACGATTTCAAACTGTTTTCCTTTTACAGCCACACAGGAGAGAAACCGTTTCAGTGTATCGTGTGTGGTCGAGCCTTTGCCCAGAAGTCCAACGTGAAGAAACACATGCAGACGCACAAGGTTCACACAAATGTCTGCAGTCTCTTTAACCTAATCTTCTGCTTCTGAACTCTCAGTAAAATACCTACAGTTTAGTGCTGTTCATTATAAGTCATTTTAAATCGAAAGAATAGTCACTGCCACAGCTTTTGACTGGATACAACATTATTTGCTTTGCTGTAAAACAATATAAAATACACTGTAAAGCTCTTTAATTTTAACCCATGAAGTGGTTTCTTTGATTACTTCCATGAAATGTGAATGCAATTGAATGCAAACAACACAGTAACAACTGTCTACTTTGAAGGTGTGGCCTATGGGCGTGGCCAGCACAGTGTCCAGATTGCCAATCACAGTAAAGGTGGTGCCTGTGTCATCCATTGAGGAGGAGGGGAGAGGGGAGCAGCAGCAGAACAGTCAAACACAAACAGAAGAGGTAGCAGCTCAAACAGGTGATGTCTGTTTAATACGCCCATACTGTGACATGATATATAAATTATACTGATGACGTGACCGCAGCGTGAATTGAAATGTGCATGAAATCATGTGCAGCAAAGCACGTTTCAAAACTCTGGTGCGAGTTAGAGTTATATAGGTGTAGTTTCCACTCCAGTTCTGTTTAGTGCACAAAATGGAAAAGCTGTCTTAAATCAACAGCAAGTAAACATAATGCCATGTGTACCAACAACATCAAAAACCATATAGACTAATATATACATGCACAGTTTATCAGGTACAGCTAGCTAAAGCTAACAGGACCCTGTAATAAGTCCTACCTTCATGGATACATCTTCACATTTAACAGCCACTGCTGTGCAGCTGAGTCACAGTGAACACAATGCCTTTTCACAGAAACTTCAGGGGACTTGGAGGAGAGTGTGACTGAGGCTCAAGCTGACTCTGAGGGCAGCCAAGGGGAAACCGTGCACAACAGGCAACCGCAGGTGCAGCCCGCCCAGAGCCAACAGTGCCAAGCTCAGACCAAACAGATGGTGGTGATAGACAGCTCGTACCAGTGCCAGTTCTGCGCTAGCAAGTTTAAGACCTATTTCCAGCTCAAGTCCCACCTCACCCAGCACAAAGGGGAGCAGGTGAGTACAAAGGAAGATACATGTGGGGTGTGTCTGGCAGCCTGCTGCAAGACTGACTAGAGATCATAGCGTTTAGCATGTCTGAAGACTTCTTGCAAGTTTGTCTCTTCATTAAACACTGATACAGCTAACTATGTTATCAAAGTTTCTCCTACGTTCCAGGTAGTCACAGTTTTTAAAACATCAGCCTGCAGAAACTGGATGATAAAGATTAAAATGATCACTGCTGGTACATAACTGCACAAAAAACCAGCAGATTTTTTTCAAACACTGTCATGTATTATTGTTCATAGATAAAGCATCAAAAGAAATGGGCCAGTGAACTGGACTGCTCATCTGCTTCTCTGTAGGTTTATAAGTGTGTGTTAAAGTCCTGCTCTCAGACCTTCCAGAAGTTGGATCAGTTTTTGGAGCACATCAGGACACATCAGGAGCAGCTCACCTATCGCTGCCACCTCTGCAGCAAGATGTTCCCCTCGCTGTTTGAACTGGGAGTCCACCAGTATTCCCATAGCTTCTCTCCACAGCAGAACAGTCGCAAAGAAGCCACCGTCTACAGGTCGGCTCAGCTACTCATCCATGTGTACTCATTCCTTACTAATTACTGCAGAACAATAAATGCGCCGTTTACTCCTGTTTGAGTAACATTTGCTAAAAACTAGTTTATCCATTTATGAAGATTTTCACCTTCAGTAGGAGCGAATGGGCTCGGGGGTGAGTGCCACAGATAGAGTGGAAGACACTGAGACAGACCAACACATTGTTAGTTCATAGGAGTTGTTGACAGTAAAATAAATAGAGTAACACCAACCTTATTCATAAAAATGTTGGTGAAAGAACGTCAGAACAAATCATTATGAAGCATGTTTTCATCTTCTTCTCTGCTGTTCATACCAGTTGGCCACCTTTTTTTTTCTCCCCTTCAGGTGTGTGAAATGTCAAAGCAGATATTCTACCCAGGAGGCACTGGAACAACATCTACTGACTGCCTCACACAGCTTTCCCTGCCCACACTGTCAGAAGGTACACTACGCGGTGACGCAGACACACACAAACTATAGTTGTTGAACGTGTGAAGCGGCTCACGTATAAAGTGGTTGGTTTACTGTCACTGTAATGATATTTGGATTCTAGAAGTTACAGTAGCTGCTTAATGCCTTGGCTTTACAATGTGTAGTTGAGGTTTGTTTCCAATGTTACATTTTCCAACACTGGTGAGGTGTCTGATCTGTTCTCTCTCTGGACATCAGGTTTTCCCATGTGAAAGGTACTTCAGACGCCACCTGCCCACTCATGGCATTGGAGGGAGGTTTAAGTGTCAGATCTGCAAGAAGGCCTTCAAGACAGAGCACTACCTCAAACTGCACACACGCATTCACTCAGGTGGGAAAGACTCATACATTTGTTTTATGTGAGGACCTTCAGCCACTAGACAACTGTGCATGGTCTAACAATCTGATTATCTGTGGATGATTGAGCTACACTAGGTAGCACAGTTTTCTGTGTCTGTTAGCCACGGTGGCTGTCACCGCTCAGGCTAACAACCCAGTTCTGCCATGTGTTCCTATCACACCAGAAATGTTTGCTGAAACAGAAGGAAGATTCTTAAGTGGTAGCTTTTGGAAGGCTATGCAATTGGAAGATTTTTTTTACCAGAGAAAACACAAAAGGATCTGAGTTTGATGCTGGTTCCATTTCCCAGGTGAAAAGCCATACAAATGCTCCCTCTGTGAGGCGACGTTCAACAGGAAGGACAAAGTGAAGAGGCACATGCTCATCCACGAACCTTTCAAGAAATACAAGTGTCCCTTCAGGTGAGGCTCTTCCATAGAAACTTCACTGAAAAAAACTGCCTCTTATTCAAACTCCTTCTTCCCTCCTTCCCAATTTGGTTAATCCCTTTTAACATTTAACATTTTCAACTTTTGTTCTTTCCCTTTTCTTTCTCACTTGTGCTTCCCTGTCCCTCTTTTCATGTTTTTGACCATCCTACCTTTCTTACAGGCTTTTTCATTTCATTTTATGCTAACTTTTCTGTTCTCTCATTAGGACACATGTAGGTTGCACCAAAGAGTTCAACAGACCAGACAAGCTCAAGGCCCACATTCTGTCACATTCTGGTGAGTGAATAATACCAATAATAATTGGAATTATGCCACAGCTAGAGGCTTTATGTTTTCAGGTTGTCCGTATGGCTGATTCTAAAACTGAACAGATTCATGTGGACAGCTCGACCAGCTTAGATACTGATAGTGATTGAGATGAGAAAACATTGCTGTTGGATGAAAGACTGTTTCGTCTCCTTCAGGTATCAAACCCTACAAGTGTCTATTTTGCCAAAAGGCGTTCAGCCGCAGGGCTCACATGCTCGAGCATCAGCAGTCCCACACAGACAACTACCGCTTCAGATGCTCCACCTGCAACAAGGGATTCACCAGACAGAGCTATTATCGAGATCACAAATGCCCTGCAGCGGGGAATGAGACAGGAGCTGAAGTTGGGGCTGGA